GTCTAGTTTTTTTGTATGTATTTCATGGAGCATTTCATGAAGGACCACAACCCCTTCTAGGATGTTTCTGTCTGGCATGAAAGCAGTTTGGGTCGGCTGCACCACAGAGTGTGCAATCTGTGTGAGTCTATTAGTCCCAACCTTGGTAAAAAAATTGAAACTAACATTAAGAAGACAGATAGGCCTGAACTGCTCAATTCTCACAGCCTTTGTTTTCTTCGGGAGCAAGGTTATTGTTCCAAAATTCAAATGAAACAACTAAAGCTGTCCGGAGACTAGATCATGGAACATCGGAAACAAATCCCCCTTTAGTAATGTGCCAACATCTCTTATAAAACTCCACAGAAATTCATCCGGCCCCGGAGCTTTATTATTCTTCATCTGTGAAATCGCTTCAAACACCTCTTTCTCCGAGAATGGTGCAGTTAATACATCATTCTCATCGGCAGCCAGCTGAGGCACATCCTGAATCCTCGACTCATCCAAGGACACAAAATTATCCTCTAGAGGCCCAAAAAGTTGCTTGTAATAATTGGTTATGTAAAGTTTTAAGTTCTCTTGCCCTATGATAGTCCCCTCGTCTTGCTCAAGCTGAAAGATTCTTTTCTTTCTGTGCTTGCCATTGGCGATCATATGAAAGAATTGAGTGTTAGCGTCCCCTTGGACAACTTTACGAACCTTAGCTCGCAATGCCCACTTCAACTCCTCTTCCCTCAACAGCTCTTTCAATCTCATCTCTGCATCAACTTTGGCATGAAGCTCCGATGATTGCAGAATTGTGGACTCGGCTTTCACATCTAAGGACCGGATAAGTGTAAGGAGCCTTTCCTTTTCAATCTTACAGATCCCACTAAGATGCTTAGCCCATCCTCGCAAGAAACTTCTCAAGTTTCTAATCTTATTCTGCCATCTCTCAATAGGAGACCTTCCTCCTGCATCTATCGCCCATTCTCTGGCTATCAGATCCAGGAATCCTTCTCTTTCAAACCACGCAAGTTCGAAAGAGAAAGTATTTTTGTTACCCACATGTGTTGCCTCCCCAGAATCAACCAGCAGAGGGATGTGGTCAGAGATACCGCGAGATAACGCTTGGACTGTAACCTTAGATCGTGTGGTCACAGACACCACGATCGACGCTTGCTAGGACTCGATCTAGCTTCTCATACGTCGGGTTTTGCAAAGTATTAGCCCAAGTGAATTTTCTACCCGAAAGCTCTATCTCTCTAAGATCCGAGCTTTCAATGATGGTATTAAACATGAATGACCACCTGGCGTCGAAATTATCATTGTTCTTTTCTTCTCTCCTTCTAATAATGTTGAAATATCCCCCAGCCAAATTGGGAGTCGTTCAGACCAGCAAATCCGTACGAGATCCGCCAAAAAGTCTGGTTTTAGTTCCGGCTGCGCGGCCCCATACACCGCAACTAGTTCCCAATTAAAACCATCGACTTTGGATCTAACCCGAAATTTGACGACGAAGTCACCCATAACCACACTTCGGACTTCCAACGCCTCACATTTCACCCCTAGAAGGATCCCCCTGATCTTCCTCTTGGGGGAAGGCAGTGCCAATCAAAATTGACACCTCCGGATAAAGTGCTCAAAAACGGAGGAGAGAAATTGTCCCTTCCTGTCTCGGAAAGGGCAATAAAGTCCAATCTACGTTCAATTGAAGCATCTGCCAGAAACCTTCTTTTAGCCAAGTCCATCAGACCTCTGCTATTCCAAAAGATGCCTCTCATAGTTCATCATGGAATTTTTTGGCTGTACGGACCCTAGCACTCCTACGCACCGCGGATGTAGGATAAATCTTACGCCTCCACTTTCTCTTAGGCTTGTTCTGATCATATACCCTGTCCTCACAACCGAGCTCCGCAGCTCTAACCTCATGACCCTCTACTGGGGCGCTCTCCTCAAGGGGTAACAAGCCATCATCTCCTCGGTCTCAGTGATGGATGGGGCAAGATCCACACAAAACGAATCTAGCACCCTGACTCCCAAAGCATCAATGTCGGAATCGTTCATAGGTTTAACCGTAGCTAAATTACGAATCAACTCTAAGGCATGTTCCGCTTCCAGGTCGAGAATGTCATTAACAGATTTAGAGATTTCACTATCATTACTACCTAGTGAAACTCCTAACTCATTTGCATTGTGGATGATCTCATCATTAGAAAAATGCAAAATAGAATTGGAAGTGTTGACCGACATACCAGTAGTGACCTCCATGTCACGAAGCTTGGCCGCCCGCATGGCGCACCTCAGCTGCATATCATCAACATCCGTCTGGTCCTGAAGGCGACAACTCATCCGTCTGCCCTCAGACACAGGATACAGAATACCTCCAAAAGTGATGACCTCCTCCCTGGTCGCCCCGTTTGAGGTAAGGCCTCCTGCCCCACCCCCAACGGACGACCCGACAAGAGGAGTCGAAGAGCCGCAGACCACCGTCGGCGAGCACGGGGCTAGTGAGGGCTGGGCCGCCTGCCCAGACTCCCCACAAGGCGTCCCGCGAGGAAAAAAGAGGACGGGGCCGCCTGCCCCCGCGCCCCACCCGACCCGACAGTCAGACTCGACTCGGGCCGTGAAGCCAACCCAGCTGGCGTCTGCTGATCAAACGGCGCCACAGGTTCGGCCACCCTAACCATCGCAGAAGAGGAGGGAGCCGAGGCCTCCTGCCCGAGCCCCCCTCCCAAACTAGGCTTGTCACCGCACGGCGACACCGCCACCACAGTCCCGACGGAGTCTTCCCGAGCATCGAACTAGCAGCAGAGGAAGGAGAACGGGAGGTCACCTGCTCAAGACCGTCCCTCCCATCCGGAGAACCCGTTTTCTTAGCAAAGTCCAGTGGAGGTAACCTGCGCTCAAACACATCCTCAGATTCAACCCTGTCGCTCCACATCCTGGGAGGCGCGGAAGCGGGCTGAAAAGAACCGAATCTATGAATTTGTCGGTATTATGTACTAGTATATTATATATAGGACCAACTTATTTTGTTTGATGAAAAGAGCTTCCCACGCTTTATATTATAAAACAACGGTTAACAAGGTTTAAATAAAGAGGAGTTCAAGTGGCGATACAATAGAAATAACAAGGTTTTGCTGGGCCTCAACACAACATCCCTTTCTACTCTCTCTGTGCCAAAATAGAAGACGATTTTAGGTCTAGATTTAGAAGAAGAAAAAATGTCTTATATTTTGATATTGAGGGAGTAGTATGTTTATATACATTACCGAAGGATGTACCACTAGCAGGTGGATGTCGACACAGAGGGAGAGTCAGCCATACGTCGTCAACCATTGAGGTACGATGCAAATTAATTAGAATCTGAATAATGCAGAGCAACCGCTATGGGCAAGGCAGGGCCGCCCGGAAGGAGTAGTGCATGGGAGGCGGCAGGGCCTCAAGTCCCAAGTGGGTTGGTCATATCCCTTGTCGTACTCTTCCTCGTCGGCAACCGCACCTTCACTTCACGGGTGTAATCTTTGCTAGGTATGGATACAGCCGATGCCGGAGAGGAAAAACAAGGACTTTGAGGACGGGCGCGGTCCGGTCGTTTTTTTTAATGAAATATGTCGAAAATGTAATGAGTGTGTTCAGATTAAAAAAACATCCGGTTTGTATGCAATTTATCAAGTATATGATCACAATTTTTGATTTTACTACCTGGTATGGAAAAATCATTTGCTTTTGGTATTGTGTAGCAATAAATTATGTGTTGGACCAACTTATTTTCTCTTGGTATTATGTACCAGTACTTAATAATATGTATGATCAACTTATTTGCTTTCTTTATGCTTGTGTTTTTAAACAGTGTACTTGTCTTCATAATGTAGTGCAATTGTTATCATGGGGCGCAGCGCAGGGAAGCGTGCGTATACCTATACTAGTAGGAGTATTCTTGTATGTATATATAGCTGAGCAATGTACTACTACTAGCAGTAGCATGTGGATGTCGACACGGAGGGGGAGTCAGCCGTGCGTCGTTAGCCAGTGAGATATCGTACGTACGACGCAAATTAATTAGCGTTGCAGAGCAGCCGCCTGGAATTAGTTACGATGGGTACTACTTCCTTTATTCGGGATTACTTGTCTTGAAAATGAATATATGTAGATGTATTTTAATTTTAGATACATCTATTTTCAAAATAAATAATTTCGAATGGAGGGAGTAACTGCAACGCTGTCTGTCCCGGTAAAACCAGAAGGATTCCGAAGCAGAAGCGCGTGAAAACGTTCTTCCACCGTCGCTGTCATTCGCTCCAAGTTATTAAACGCGGCCATCAACAGCAACAACAAGAGAAAAGAAATGAACGGAAAATAGCAGTTTAAGCGTGGGAAGTCCGGCACGCGCCCGCGTCTACGCGGATCCTTCGTCTCGTCTCCGCTCGTGCCAGCGACGACCGGTCAGCCACGGCCGGTCTTCCGCCTCCGTCCGTCGTCCTCTGCATCTAACTTGGACTTGTGCTCCCGTCCTCGGCAACCGCAACCCCGCCCCCCGCTCCCACGCCGCTCCTCCTCCTAGTATATAGCTGCGCAACTTCTAACCTTAACTCTCATCCATCGCCTGCTCCTCTCTGCTCCACTTCCATCTGCTGCGCCCCGCCCATCCATCCATCCATCCTTGGTACGTACGTACACCATCTACTAGTTCTACTTCTACTTCTACTTCTAGTCGATTGTTGCTCTGTTTCCTCTCTGTGAACTTGGCCATGTTTCTTCATGGAGCTTGTCATGTCATGGTTAAACAGAGCTGCGTGCTTGTTATTTTCTTCCTTCATCAGTCTTTTGGTTAAAAAAGAGTAATGATGTTTAGGTTGGCTGTGCTTTCATAACCCACAGCTACCAAACCAATTAGTTTCCCATGACATAATGAGCTTATCTTTTTCTTATGTGATTTGCCCTTGCAGAAACATCAAGTTGACCCTCTGGCTGGGCCACAGCGGTTGCAGAGACAAGAGAACAAGTCTCCTCCACAAAAGGGGTGCCACAGCGGTGAGATGTCCTCGCTGAGGCCGCTCAACACGGAGCCAAGTTTTCTCCACTCCCAGAAGCTGCAGAGCCCGAGGGATGCCTGCGGGGCACCGCTGAGGTCGCCGTCGCCGAGGGTCGTCGCCGGCCCGCCCAAGAAGAGGATGGCGCGCGCCGGAGGCCTCTTCGAGAGGTCGCTCAGCTTCAAGAACTGGGAGGCGGAGGTTGGCGCCGATGAGCCAGAGGCGGCGAGCCGGTGCATCAACGGCGCGCGCCCCGGGACCCTCGTGCTCCAGAGCCCAGGAAGCAAGCAGCAGCAGTCCCCGAGGCCGTCGCCGTCCAAGGCGCACTTCGTCTCTCCGAGGCCTCAGGCCGAGCTGGACGACGCGGCCACCAAGGTCCAGAAGCTCTTCAAGGGCCACCGGACCCGGAGGAACCTCGCCGACTGCGCCATTGTCGTGGAGGAGCTCTGGTCTGCATCTGCATCTTCACCTGCATCTGCATGCATGTTGATTGGAGTATCATCGTGCCTGACCAAAACAATTTCAACGTTGAAATTATTCAGGTGGAAGGCCTACGATTCCGCATCACTCAACATCAAGTCCATCTCCTTCTTTGACGAGGCCAAGCAGGAGACGGCTGCTTCCCGGTGGTCAAGGGCTGGGAAGAGGATTGCCAAGGTCGGCAAGGGGCTCTCCAAAGACGAGAAGGCCCAGAAACTGGCACTGCAGCACTGGCTCGAAGCTGTAAGCTTCTCCCTCCATGCCTTCTCCTTTGGTTTCCAAAAAATCATACACTAAGTTTTTATACTCAAGTCAAAATCTTTGTTTGTGGTTCTCCAGATTGACCCGCGCCATCGCTACGGCCACAACTTGCACCTCTACTACGACATCTGGTCCTCGAGTTCCAGCACAGAGCCCTTCTTCTACTGGTAATTACCTTACTTGGTCCTGCTCATCTGAAACATGTTCCTAATCCTAGGGTGGGGTGCAATTACAGGGAGGTTTGTAGTGATCCTGACAGCGCGTTCCTTGTTTTGTACTCCTTTTCAGGCTGGATATCGGAGCCGGGAAAGACGTTCATCACCAAAAGTGCCCGAGAAGCAAGCTGTATTCCCAGTTGATTATGTACCTCGGACCAGTAAGTGACATCCTCTTTTCTGTCTCAAGATACACAGCACAGACCTCAAAGTTGAATCTTGCATGTTCAAATTTCCAAGAGATTAATTGATCTGATTTGAATGTTACTCGAATCGCAGAACGAGAGGGCAGGGTATGAGGTTATTGTGGAGCAAGGGAAGCTCATGTACAGGAGAAGCGGCCTTCTCGTAGAAACCACCGAGGACTCGAAATGGATATTTGTGCTGAGCACAACTAGATCACTATACATCGGGCAGGTTGGAAATGTTCCATCCTTTTCTTCTCTCTATACTAGTTCAGCAGTCGTGCATGGTAATTACATTCTGTGCCATGATGAATCAGTCCTGACTGTAAATTCATCTCTTGTGAGCAGAAGAAGAAGGGTAAATTTCAGCACTCGAGTTTCCTAGCCGGGGCGGCAACAACCGCTGCCGGTAGGTTGGTTGCCAAAGATGGCATTCTTAAGGCAATATGGCCTTACAGCGGCCACTACCTCCCAACAGAAGAGAACTTCAGGGAGTTCATCAGTTTCTTGGAGGAGAACAATGTCGATCTAGCTAACGTCAAGGTAAATTTACCACTCGTGCTACAGTACTATTTTTGTATCGTCTTAATAACCACCAGGGATACCATATCTGATACGCATTTGCAATTCACTTCCAGAGGTGTTCCGTCGACGACGACGAGTACCCATCGTTCAAGAAGACCTCAGACGAGCCTACTGAAACGGAAGAACATGACGAGAAACCCACCGAGGCGGAACATGATGAGACCCTCAACAGCTCGCAAATTGAACTGCCTGAGATGGACATCATCAAGGAAGTGGTTGCCGAGGACAATGCGGAAGCGGAGGCAGCAGCGACCAAGATGGCCAGTCTCCCGTCCTTCAAATGGGCAACCGCTGCTGGCGCGCGGATCGGCTGTGTCCGCGACTACCCGGCTGATCTCCAGAGCATGGCTCTTGAGCATGTCAATCTGTCACCAAGAGTGGTGCCGTCTCCGAGCGCGAATCGGCTGCCCATCCCGTCGCCTCGGCCCAGCCCCAAGATCAGGCTGTCTCCCCGGCTGCACTACATGGGCCTTCCTACCCCCACCGGCCGCCGGCTCCCGATCCCGAGCCCGGAGATCAGGAGGCAGCAGTTCATGGGCTTTCAGACACCGGAAGTGGCTCTCACTCTCCCCAAGCACAAGGCCAAGTGATTTTTCATGTCGCGGCACCTACTACCAGGCTGCTGTTATTGAAGCTATAACAGCAGCTTTAGATAGTTATTATAGCTAGATCAGAGATACTCACAATTTTGCTTCTTATGGTTGGTTCTTTGGTTCTGTTCTGTGTCACCATTCTTTAGTATGTTCATCTTCTTATTTGACCTCAGGTGCGTCGGCTGTAGTGTAAAAGTGTAGAGTACACGCTGCCTAGCCTCAACCCACAACTCTGCAAATAAGCCATGTAACTTTCCAGCTTTGTTTTCATAATAAAAGGGTTGTTTTGTTCATCATGTTGATGTGTCTGAACCATCTTTTTTGTTGCATGCATTTGCGGCAGGAATGTAGGACACTCTCTAATGTTATCCGATTGGAAGAACAAACAAAAAAAAACAGATTTCCTAAAATTACCTATTGCACATCTAACTGTACCACCATTAGATGAAAGTCCTCTAAGATTCGTGCTTTCTTTTTCCAATGCGATTGCATTGTTGTTTTCGCGCGGCCTATGGGCTGGCTTGTTGCCTGCAACTGCAGATGGCATGCATACCGCGATAACTGCAGAGCCGGGATGTCGGCTAGTTAAATGTCTGCCGTTCGACATGTAATTATATGACACATTTACCACACAACTGCAAGGGGTACAATGCCATGGCAACTCGGGTGGCGTTGCATTTTATTTTTGTTTTTGTTTGTCATTTCTTTCTTCCGCCCAATGAGAAATAATAATTCAAGACCCACCCCCTCCCCTTAGGGAATGTTGTTTTTTTGCTCTTTTTTTAAACCACCAGGGGCCAGTTGCATGTTGGCTTGCAACTGCCTTTGCTATAACATGTGCATATGGTGTACCTACCATGCAATTGCAGGGGCCACGACGCAACTGCAACTGGGATGGGATGTCGGCCAATTGCATGTCCAACACCCGATATGTAACTACACATGACATACATACGACACGGCTGCAAGGGGTAAAACACGACTGCAATCAGTGGTGGCGCTAGGATCGGGTCATGCCGCGGGCAAGTCTCGGGCCAAACAATGACTACAATACCAAAACAGTGTAAATATGGCTACAATGAAGGAAGGAACCCAACCTCACGACCCAGGCCATCGCCCGGGCAGCCTGCCTGGTTTCGCCCATTGAATGCAACTGATGTGGTGTTGCATATTATTTTCATTTTTTTGTCATAGTTTCTCCCACAACGCGAGAAGCAACAATCTAAGATGACCCCCATCAAGGGCATGTTGTTCCCTCTAGGTTTTTTTACAAGCAAGCCACATGCTTGTGTATGTATTGTGAAAACAAGCTAGATCAACAGAAATTTGACTAATGGCTTGCTTTTTGTCTGATATGGAGAAAAAGCCCACGCAGTGATATTTTGCAGACAACCAACAAGCCTAAAACAAGGCCCAACCCAATTGTGTGATAAATCGTCAAGCCAACAACAACTATCACGAAGGCGATCAAAAGGGCTGGCAAGATAGGGAATGGGCCACAAACAAGGGAAGATATCATCTTCAATGTGCAATAATTATTTTTCATGTAGATGTGCTTTCCTTGTTCTCCATGCTTGATCATGCTCCAATGGTCATCCCTCTTATCCATGCTAGATCCTTCACTCCTAAGCAATAAAAATATATTTGATTAGGCATCATCAAATTCTAATGAGTATTGGAAATGGTTCCAAGAAACGAAAATACCTTATAAAATAGTTGATGTGTGTGAGCTCTAGTAATTTATCATATTTGTGTAGCAGTGGGGGCTATGAGGATAACCGTGGTAGGAATGTCCTCATGAGTAGTACAACACGACTTCAACTGATGTGGTGTTGCATTTTATTTTTATTTTTGTTTGTTCTAGTTTCTCCGGCCGCACAAAAACAACAATTTAAGACATACCCCCATCGAGGGAATGTTGTTCCCTCTGGGTTTTTTACAAGCAAGGCACATGCTTGTTTGTGTAATGCGAAAACAGGCTAGATCGACTAAAATTTGACTAATGTTGTGATATTTTGTGCATATAGAATAAAAGGAAAATCCCAACTAGTGATATATGTATATAATCAAGAAGGCTCGGCCCGATTGTATGACAAATAGTCAAGCCAACAATTGTCACTAGGGTGATCAACATATCATCTTCAGTGTGCAATATTTATTTCTCATCTAGATGTGCCTGCTTTGTCCTCCATGCTTGATCATACTCGAATGTCCATCCCTCTTGTCCATGCTAGACCCTTCACTCCTAAGCAATAAGAACATATTTGATTTGGGCAACATCATATTCTCATGAGCATTGAAAATGGTTCCAAGAAACGAAGGTACCTGGCAGTTTAGTTAATGTGTGTGAGCTCTTATCTATGTAGTAGCAGGGGCTATGAGGATAACTGTGACGCCCCGAGACCGACGCTTCAGAAGACTTCCATATTTTCGTGACCTCCGTGTGTTTTATTTGTGCTTGCTCTATTTATTTTTTTGCATCGCATCATGTCATCATGCCATCATATCATTAATCTTATAACTCTTATAATTAAATTATATGGATCTTCGATCCATTTAAATCGAGGAAAATGCACATGATGATTTTCTCTTTATAACATATATCCTCCCAATATTATTAGGGAGCTATAAAATTATATTCCAATAATTTGGAATCACCCATAAACACACTTGCAAATATTCTCCATGTCTTTTCTACTTTAAGTTTGACTTCAAAACCTTGCCCGCAATTTACTTCCCTTTTATCGAGGTTCCTCCAAAAATCCTCATCATTTTCTGGACACTTCAAAACCCAAGTCCTAGTTCAAACCATTTGAATTAAATTCAAATGAGTTTGAATTTATGTCGTCCAATCATGGCCATTTCTATTTTCTCGGAACAAGCACATTTTAGTGAGTCCGGGAAAATTTTCCGTGTGCGCAAATTCTTTCCCTAATCCCCTCTTTCTTTTTCTTCTCTTTATTTGTTTTCTGCTAACGGAAATATAAGAGAAGAGAGGCTGAGAGAGAGAGAGAGAGAGAGAGAGAGAGAGGGAGGTGGCCTGCACCGCTGGCCACTTGGGCCTCCCGCTAGGCCGGCCTGCTTCCGCGCAGCCTTTTGGCCCAAGACCACCTAAGCCTCCTAACCCTAGCTACCCCGATCCACTCTCTCTCGATCTCACCATCTCCCTCCCGTAGCGCCGCCTCTCTCCTCTCGTTCTATTTTCCCCTCGCGCCTAATCCCCTCTGCCTCGCCTTGGCGCTGCGACCGCTGCTGCCCTCCTCCCTCTCCCGTGCGCCGCCACCTACCCTGCCGGCGACCAAAGCCGCCGGAGTGCCGCCTGCCTCGCCCTCGCGTCTCCGGCCTCCTCGTCGTCCTGCCATGGACGCCGAGCTCGAAGCTCCAGCCGACCCCGCCTCCATGGCCTTTGCCGCCGCCGTCTCTCTCCTGCCTCGTCGGACCTGCTCCGTCCTCCGCCTTCTCCCTCCTCGCAGGTCCTCCGCTGCTGCAGCACCTTCACCGTCTCGCCAGCCGTCGGCCTCAAGCATGTCCCCACGCTCGCCGCCAGCGAAGGCCGTGGCCAGGGAGCCGCTTGAACTCTGTTGTTGCACCTCCGCTCATCCCTGTCGTTCGTCAGCCTCCCCTAGCTGCTTCCCCTCAATCCCGCCGCCTCCTTGCTCGGGAGAGCAAAGGCTCGATCCCGAGCAGCACCAGCGCCTGCATCCCCATCGCGCTCGAGGACAAGCCCCTCGGGCAGGAGGGCTTCTCCTGCCCGAACCCTCAAGGAGAGCTGTTGCCGTGCGTGTTGAGTAAATAGGCAATTTCTCGATTAAATTAATCCATGAGTAAATCACTAGCATGGCATTGACTAAGTTGATGACGTACCGACTCTGATCTAAACATGCACGTACTAAACAAACAGTAGACAAATCTACACATACTGCTAGTATTGCTAATATGAAAATAATCAAGAGCGGGATAAACGAGTTATACCCTCCAGTAGGCCACGCAGAGGCCGCGGCTTTGGTGGCAGCAGCGGCGTCCTCAGCGACCTTCTTGTCGGCTTCATCTTTCTCGGCAGCGACACGGTCGGCGTCGGTGGACATGGTGATGACGAAGGCGACGCGGACGTGGAGGAAGTAGACGATCGGAAGCGAGCAGTCGTGTAATCGCTGCCCAAAAACCTATTCGCCCCTCACCCCGTACAGGAACCAGAAGGGCGTGGTTTCGGAGACCTGCTCTCCCGTCGACCGTGTACGTGGCGGACGGGATGGAGTCACCGGCGGCAGCAGCAGCAAAGGAACAACGGTGGGCGTGCGCGTGAGCAGATGTGATCTGTTTGTGACGTCTAGGGTTAGGAGACACCGCATACTTATAGGCGCAGCCGCGTGGAGAGACGTGGGCTCGACCCACTTCCGAGTCCGTGACAGCCCACGATCCGACGTCTCAGATCGTGGCCCAGCTGTCAGAAAACTCTCCGTTAGTGACTGGCAAAAATAAGCGCGTAGGTGTGAGCTCGGCTCGGCTCAATCCCGCAACCCGCGGCGCGTCGTGACGAGGCGTGGCGTGGCGAGGCGGGCGGCGGAGGAGGAGTGCGCGAGGGCCTCTTCTCTTCTCAAGCTCCAATAGCATGTAGAAGAGAAACCCTTATAAACCACTCCAACTCTCCTTCCACTTCCGGGGTGGGACTAAACTTCCCACCACACCTAGTGCCATATAACCCACATGGGCCCTTAGAGATTTTTCAGAAATTGCAATATGGGCCTAGAGCCCATCTCAGATTTCAGCAATCCCCCACCAGATCTCGAGGGCCCATTGTGTCCTCTGTTCCAATTGCTGTTTCGATATACCAGTGTTTCAGTAAAGACCTGTTAAGGTTGAACTTCACCTAGAACAAGTGGCTACACTCCTTCACAACTGAACAATGGACTATGCCTTGAATTGTCAGTTTGGCGTAAAGAAGTTTCACTACATGTCTTACTAGTACTAGGCTGCCGAAGGCTGACCCCTCGGGTGGAGCATATAAGTCACACTCCTGGCCTATTCATGAGCTTACTAGAGATCACCCCAATCTCATAGACTGTGACCAGCAGTCGGGCTCATATAGGTGTGTTCCTCCAAAGATCGCTCTGTAGGATAGCATCTTGCTTTTATAAGCTTTGGAACACATTGAGACTGTAGTCATCCTACCATACAGTATCGAGAGTATTGCATCTCCAACGGAGTGGGTTAGTATAGTTACTCTCCTCAGTTCACCACTGGCTTGTTTTCCCAGGTCCTAGTTTACGGGATCTCCGATCATATAGGTTGGGTTACCACCATGGCAACTCATGTGGGTCTCATACCCATCTCCCTCGATGCATTATCTATCACAACACGTGATAGCCCTTTTGTAAAGGGATCTGCCAGATTCTTAGCCGTATGGACATAGTCCAACGCTATCACTCCGGAGTTTCTTAATTTTCTGACAGCTTTTAATCTCATTCTTATGTGTTTGGTGGACTTCATGTTGTCCTTTGAACTCTTCACCTTGGTGATGACAGTCTGATTGTCACAGTTCATAAGGATAGCCGGAACCGGTTTATCAACCAATGGCAAGTCCATCAAAAGATCTCGAAGCCATCTCGCTTCAACACCAGATGTGTCTAATGCCGTTAATTCTGCTTCCATTGTCGATCTCGTTAAGATCGTTTGCTTGCAAGACTTCCAGGAAACAGCGCCACCTCCAAGAGTAAACATATACCCAGTTGTGGCCTTCATCTCATCAGCATCAGAGATCCAATTCGCATCACTATACCCTTCAAGTACCGACGGGTATCCGGTATAGTGAAGTCCATAGTTCATAGTACCTTTCAGATAGCGCATAACTCTCTCAACAGCATGCCAATGTACATCACCCGGTTTGGAAACAAACCGGCTTAGTTTGCTCACAGCAAACGCGATGTCAGGCCTCGTTGCGCTCGCTAGGTACATCAGTGAACCAATGATTTAAGAGTATCTCAATTGATCTTTAGCCATGCCTTTGGACTTTCGAATCAATACGCTAGGATCATATGGTGTTTGAGATGATGTGCAGTCCGAATATCCAAAACGACTCAACACCTTCTCAACGTAATGGGATTGCAGAAGCGTGATCCCACCCTCATTATCTCTCAGTAGCTTGATGTTCAAGATAACATCAGCCACACCAAGGTCTTTCATCTCAAAGTTCTGAGATAGAAACGATTTGACCTCCTCAATGACTTTGAGGTTTGTTCCGAATATCAGTATGTCATCAACATACAAGCACAGTATAACTCCTTTGCCCCCACCATGGCGATAGTATACACATTTGTCAGCCTCATTAACAACGAAACCAAAAGATGTCAGAGTTGTATTAAACTTATCATGCCATTGCTTAGGTGCTTGTTTCAGGCCATATAAAGATTTTATCAACCTACACACCTTTCTTTCCTGACCATCTATCACAAAGCCATCAGGCTGTTGCATGTAGATTTCCTCCTTTAGCTCTCCATTTAGAAAAGCCGTCTTAACATCCATCTGATGGACGAGAAGACCATGTGAGGCCGCCAACGAGAGTAATACTCGAATGGTGGTCAGTCTAGCCACAGGTGAATAAGTATCAAAGAAATCTTCCTCTTCTTGCTGGTCATAGCCCTTGGCCACAAGCCTAGCCTTGTACTTTTCAATCGTACCATCGGGCCTAAGCTTCTTTTTGAACACCCACTTACATCCCAGTGGTTTGAAACCATAGGGACGGTCAGTGATCTCCCATGTCCCGTTAGCCATGATGGAATCCATCTCGCTACGGACCGCATCCTTCCAGTAGTCAGCTTCTGGAGAGGCATACGCTTCTGAAATAGAAGTGGGAGTATCATCCACGAGGTACACGAAGAAATCATCACCAAAGGTCTTTGCAGTCCTTTGTCTCTTGCCCCTACCAAGGGTTTCCTCGTCATCCTCCTCGGGATTTTCATCATGTGTTTGTTCATAATATTCCATAGGGATGGCAGGTTCAGGAGTCTCCTCAGATTCCTGTCTAGAAGTGCTTTGCATATCTCTCATAGGAAAAATATCCTCAAAGAATGTAGCATCCTTAGACTCCATAATTGTACCGATCTTCTGGTCAGGTACCTCAGATTTCACTACTAGAAATCTATAGCCAACGCTGTTCTTAGCGTAGCCCAAATTAATGCAGTCCACGGTCTTATGTCCAAGCTTACGCTTTTTGGGGATCGGCATGTTGACTTTCGCCAAACAGCCCCAAGTGCGCAAGTACGAGAGTGTCGTCCTTCTCTTTGCCCATTTCTCATAGGGAGTGATCTCACTATCCTTTGTCGGAACTTTATTCAGGACATGACATGCCGTCAATATAGCCTCCCCCCACCATGCCTTGGATAAACCTGATGTATCTAACATGGCGTTAACCAAATCAGTTAGAGTACGGTTTTTCCGCTCGGCAACCCCGTTTGACTGGGGTGAATAGGGAGGCGTCCTCTCATGAATAATGCCGTGTTTCGCACAGAAGGAATCAAACTCACTCGAGAAGTACTCTCCACCACGATCTGACCGGACTCGTTTAATTTTCTTTTCAAGTTGATTTTCAACTTCTGCCTTATAGATTTTAAAGTAGTGTAGAGCCTCATCTTTAGTATTTAACAGATACACATAGCAATATCTAGTGGAATCATCTATCAATGTCATGAAATATCTCTTTCCACCTTTAGTCAACACACCATTCATCTCGCAAAGATCAAAATGTATGAGTTCTAATGGTGCCAGGTGTCTCTCCTCCGCGGCCTTATGAGGCTTGCGAGGTTGCTTAGCTTGCACACATGAAAGGCACTTAGAACCTTTGGCTAAAGTGAAACTCGGGATTAAATCCAACTTGGCTAGCCGCGTCATAACACCAAAACTAATGTGACAAAGACGTGAATGCCAAACTTCAGATTCATTAACATTCGAATGAATATGGTTCACGACTTTATTACAAAAATCTGCGAGGGAAAGGCGGAACATCCCTCCGCTCTCATAACCTTTTCCAACAAAGAGTCCATATTTTGTAACAACTAATTTATTAGACTCGAAAACCAACTTAAACCCTTCTCTACATAGAAGGGAGCCACTAACGAGGTTCTTCTTGATGGCGGGGACATGCTGCACGTTCTTCAGCTGCACGATCCTTCCCAAAGTAAACTTCAGATCGACCGTGCAAACACCATGAACAGAAGCACTCGCGCCATTCCCCATCAATACGGACCCGTGACCTGTGACCTGGTAAGAAGTGAACAATGAAATGTCAGCACACACATGAACACCTGCACCTGTGTCCACCCACCAATCGTTGGGTTGAAACACTGAAAAAACAGTAAATAAATTACCGTACCCAGATGCACCATTCTCATTGTTGCCCACAATCATGTTGACAGACTTGGAGTCCTGTCCTGACTTCTTGTACTTGTTTGGGCACTTGTTGGCCCAATGTTCAACCGAACCACAAGTAAAGCAGCCCTCGTCCTTCTTGTTCTTCTTGAAGGTCTTCTTACCCTTCTTCTTAAAGTCGGTATTGTGTTGGACACCGTTCTTTCCCTTGGGCTTATGGGAGTTGAAGTTCTTCTGGTTCACCATGTTGGCAACAGAAGTCCCTTCGGCCCCTTTTCCGTGCGAGTCTCTTGCCCTCGAATTCTGCTCAACACTCAGATGGCCAATGACATCCTCCACAGAGAATTCACGCCTCTGATGTTTCAGAGTGGTGGCAAAGTTCCTCCAGGAATTAGGGAGCTTAGCGATTATGCAGCCCGCGACAAACTTGCCCGGTAACTCGCACTTGAGAAGCTCAAGTTCCTTAACAATGCATATTATCTCATGAGCCTGCTCCAATACAGGACGGTTTTCAACCATCTTGTAATCGTGGAACTGCTCTATAATATACATCTCGCTCCCTGCATCGGCGGCCCCGAATTTAGATTCGAGCGCCTCCCACAAGTCCTTGGCGACATGCACATGTAAATATGCGTCGACCAGTTTATCTCCGATCACGCTAAGAACTGCTCCGAGAAACACAACGGTAGCCTCCTTGAACGCCTTCTCCTGTTCAGGAGCAATCGTTCCCGTGGAGACACCGGTGACCCAGAACACGTTCATAGCCGTGAGCCATAACGTGGTCTTAGTCTGCCAACGCTTGAAGTATGTACCGGTAAACTTATCCGGTTTCAGTGCAGCGGCAAAGCCACTTGCCGAGAAATTCCTACACATAATAGGTTTTTGGATTGTTGAGTAAATAGGCAATTTCTCGATTAAATTAATCCATGAGTAAATCACTAGCATGGCATTGACTAAGGTGATGACGTACCGACTCTGATCTAAACATGCACGTACTAAGCAAACAGTAGACAAATCTACACATACTGCTAGTATTGCTAATATGAAAATAATCAAGAGCGGGATAAACGAGTTATACCCTCCAGTAGGCCACGCAGAGGCCGCGGCTTTGGTGGCAGCAGCGGCGTCCTCAGCGACCTTCTTGTCGGCTTCATCTTTCTCGGCAGCGACACGGTCGGCGTCGGTGGACATGGTGATGACGAAGGCGACGCGGACGTGGAGGAAGTAGACGATCGGAAGCGAGCAGTCGTGTAATCGCTGCCCAAAAACCTATTCGCCCCTCACCCCGTACAGGAACCAGAAGGGCGTGGTTTCGGAGACCTGCTCTCCCGTCGACCGTGTACGTGGCGGACGGGATGGAGTCACCGGCGGCAGCAGCAGCAAAGGAACAACGGTGGGCGTGCGCGTGAGCAGATGTGATCTGTTTGTGGCGTCTAGGGTTAGGAGACACCGCATACTTATAGGCGCAGCCGCGTGGAGAGACGTGGGCTCGACCCACTTCCGAGTCCGTGACAGCCCACGATCCGACGTCTCAGATCGTGGCCCAGCTGTCAGAAAACTCTCCGTTAGTGACTGGCAAAAATAAGCGCGTAGGTGTGAGCTCGGCTCGGCTCAATCCCGCAACCCGCGGCGCGTCGTGACGAGGCGTGGCGTGGCGAGGCGGGCGGCGGAGGAGGAGTGCGCGAGGGCCTCTTCTCTTCTCAAGCTCCAATAGCATGTAGAAGAGAAACCCTTATAAACCACTCCAACTCTCCTTCCACTTCCGGGGTGGGACTAAACTTCCCACCACACCTAGTGCCATATAACCCACATGGGCCCTTAGAGATTTTTCAGAAATTGCAATATGGGCCTAGAGCCCATCTCAGATTTCAGCAGTGCGCACCTCCTCCCGTCCCCAATGCCCGTCACTGCCCCGCACCTCACCCCGTGTCCAAGCCGTGTTGTCGCCGTTGCTGCACCTCCAGCCTCCTGTCTTGCTTCTTTTTGGACCAGCAAGAACGTCGCCAAGAACTGTACGCGGACGCATCGTCGCCAGGATTTTCGCCAAGTACCTCTATGTGCGGACTCGCCAAGTACACGACTCGGATGCGCCAAGTTTGACTATGAACGGCTACACGTCCGACCCCGTATTCGAACCTCAAGCGTCAAGTTCCACTACCGTTGTCGCGAATCCGACAAGACCAAGTGTACGACTATGCCCAGCGATGCAACTGAAGGAAATATGCCCTAGAGGCAATAATAAAGTTATTATTTATTTCCTTATATCATGATAAAAGTTTATTATTCATGCTAGAATTGTATTAACCGGAAACATAATACATGTGTGAATACATAGACAAACAGAGTGTCACTAGTATGCCTCTACTTAACTAGCTCGTTAATCAAAGATGGTTATGTTTCCTAACCATGGACAAAGAGTTGTTATTTGATTAACGGGATCACATCATTAGTTGAATGATCTGATTGACATGACCCATTCCATTAGTTTAGCACCCGATCGTTTAGTATGTTGATATTGTTTTCTTCATGACTTATACATGTTCCTATGACTATGAGATTATGCAACTCCCGTTTGCCAGAAGAACACTTTGTGTGCTACCAAATGTCACAACGTAATTGGGTGATTATAAAGAAGCTCTACAGGTGTCTCCAAAGGTACATGTTGGGTTGGCGTATTTCGAGATTAGGATTTGTCACTCCAATTGTCGGAGAGGTATCTCTGGGCCCTCTCGGTAATGCACGTCACTTAAGCCTTGCAAGCATTGCAACTAATGAGTTAGTTGCGGGATGATGTATTACAGAACGAGTAAAGAGACTTGCCGGTAACGAGATTGAACTAGGTATAGGATACCGACGATCGAATCTCGGGCAAGTAACATACCGATGACAAAGGGAACAACGTATGTTGTTATGCGGTCTGACCGATAAAAGATCTTCGTAGAATATGTAGGAGCCAATATGAGCATCCAGGTTCCGCTATTGGTTATTGACCGGAGACGTGTCTCGGTCATGTCTACATTGTTCTCGAACTCGTAGGGTCCGCAAGCTTAAGGTTACGATGACAGTTATATTATGAGTTTATGCATTTTGATGTACCGAAGGTTGTTCGGAGTCCCGGATGTGATCACGGACATGACGAGGAGTCTCAAAATGGTCGAGACATAAAGATTGATATATTGGAAGCCTATGTTTGGATATCGAAAGTGTTCCGGGTGAAATCGGGATTTTACTGGAGTACCGGGAGGTTACCGAAACCCCCCGGGAGGTATATGGGCCTTAGTGGGCCTTAGTGGAAGAGAGGAGAGGTGGCCAGAGATGGGCCGCGCGCCCCTCCCCCCCTTGGTCCGAATTGGACAAGGAGAGGGGGCCGGCCCCCTTCCTCCTCTCTCTCCTCTTCCCCCCCCCCTCCACGAATCCTATTCCAACTAGGAAAGGGGGGAGTCCTACTCCCAGAAGGAGTAGGACTCCTCCTGGCGCGCCACACCTTGGCCGGCCGGCCCCCCTCCCTTGAACCTTTATATACGGAGGCAGGGGCACCCCTAGAGAGACAAGTTGATCCACGTGATCATATTCTTAGCCGTGTGCGGTGCCCCCTTCCACCATAGTCCTCGATGATATTGTAGCGGTGCTTAGGCGAAGCCCTGCGACGGTAGTACATCAAGATCGTCACCACGCCATCGTGCTGACGGAACTCTTCCCCGACACTTTGCTGGATCGGAGTCCGGGGATCGTCATCGAGCTGAACGTGTGCTAGAACTCGGAGGTGTCGTAGTTTCAGTGCTTGATCGGTCGGGCCGTGGAGACGTACGACTACATCAACCAAACGCTTCCGTTGTCGATCTACAAGGGTACGTAGATCAGACTCTCCCCTCTCGTTGCTATGCATCACCATGATCTTGCGTGCGCGTAGGAATTTTTTTGAAATTACTACGAAACACAACAGCAACAAGTACCTCTACCCTCGACCCTCGAAGGCACCGTGGACGTCAAGTTCCTCGCCATGTACCACTACCGTCATTGAAGGCCGTTGAGTGAACCACTACCATCGGCGTGTACGACTACTTTGTGAACGTGTACCCGATGACCCCGGAGACCTATGTTGCGCCAAGTACCCCCTCGTTGACCCGAACATCTACAGGAAAACGTGTACCACTACCGTCGAGGACTGATAGTACCACTACTTCTATTATCGCCACGGAACAACTACTTCCTCTACTTCCCTCGATGAACTCGAACCGCCCTGGAAATGCATGCTTCGAAGGTATAACCCCGAGACGACGCCCGCGAATGAATGCATTGTTAAACATATATTGTGCAGGTTGTTGGCGTGGCCTTGAGGTCCACGGCATAGTAGTTAGGAGGTTTATCTTTTTCATGTTTATGTCTCTTATCTCATAAAACCCTCCTGTAATATCTCTGGTGGTTAGCCTCGACGCTGCCATCTCCTGTACCGATCACCTCAATCAATATATATATTGCGGGTCTCCATGTATGAAGATTGAGACGCTTCCATAATTTCCACATGGTATCAGAGCAGGCCTCTTCCACGACATCTAGCTCATCTTCCTCCATCCGTTCCCTCCCCAGAACCATCACGCCGCAATCATGTCCACCTCCTCCGCAGTCCCTTCCTCTGGCCTCAACTATAACACCTCAGAACCTCTTAGCCGGACGAACTATGTTCTCTGGCGAGCCCAAGCACGATCCCAGATATTGGGCGCCGCCTTGTTTGGCTATATAGATCGGACTACAAAGGAGCCTCCAAGAACAATCATCAGCAAAGATAAAGATGGCAAAGATTAGGTAGTTTCCAACCCTAATCATAATCCTTGGCTCGTTCAAGATCAGCAAATCGTAGCATACCTCCTCTGAAACCTGTCCAAGGAGGTGCTTGTTCAAGTAGCCTCGCTTGAATCATCACATGCGATTTGGACCGCGTTAGCAAACATGTTTTCTGCGGTCTCTCTGTCTCGTGTCAATAACATCAGGTCAGCCCTCATGAACGCCCAGAAGGGGTCACAGTCGGCCTCCACCTTCTTCGGGCAGATGCGTGCTCTCTCCGACAAGCTTGCGGCGGCAGGAAAACCGATCGGGGATGACGAACTCATCTCTTTCATCGTCGTCGGGCTTGATATGGAGTATCAGCCCATCATCTCTGCACTCGACGTCTGCACCGAGCCCATCACCGTCGACGCACTCTTCTCGATGGTGGAAAACTTCGATCAACGCGCTGAGATGTTCAGCGGCGCTGGTGGCTTCAAGTCATCAGTGAACGCCGCTTACCGGGGTCGATCGAGTGGTGGCAGAGGCGGCTGCCGCAACCAGAAGCAAGGTGGTCACGGCGGCGGCTACTCTGGTGGTGGCGGCCAAAACCCTAGCAGTGGCTATCCTGGCACGGGTAGCGGCGGCTACAACAACCATGGCAACGACG